ACTGACCATTGACAAGACAATATGCAGAAGGTTGTACTGTAGCTGCCTGTCACTGTGCTGCGGTAGTTAGAGCTCGGTCTCATTTTCCAGAGGGAAGTAACAATTTCTTAATTTCTTTGCGTCTGGGGTAAAGACAGACCCATTATCCAGGCTTTGAATATTGCATTATATCGTCTTCTGGACAGGGAATCTGCAGCAGACCCTGGGAGAGCTAATGCACCACCTGTCCCCCCTCTGTCAGATGAGTTTGGTTAGAGAACACATTGTGTCTGCATTAGCTGCAAATGTCCTTCGCTGTGTTCGCCCACAGAGCCACCCCAAGGCTCTTTGGGGGCGGCAGATTTGAATTTTGCCTCCTCAAGGATGAGTATCTGAAGCTGGGCCAAAGCTTTGTTTCCTGCTGGCAAGAGAAGAGGGATGGGGGAAGAGGCATGGGAAGGCTTGAGGGATCAGGCTTGTTTTTTCTGCTGCTCCGGGGGCAGCAGGAAGAGGCTGGTGGTGCACGGCTGCTGCCCGGAAAGGCTAACCTCTAGCTGGAGACCACAAACCCTTGGTGACAGTGGCCAGCCTGGTTTTCCAAGGCCACAGATAAAATAAGCAACAACGCTAGGACAGCAGACAGTAGAGGAGACAGAGATGCACAGTCCTGCTGCTTCCTCCCTGGTGTGTTGGACAGAAGGAATTTTGTTCTGTAGTGGGAATTGCACTCCAGCTTGCTTGCTTAAGAAAAAGATGACCAGTGCTTTAATTTACACCCCACCTGGGGAATCAAATCTCTCAGCGAGACAGGAGGGGTTTTTTTCCCCCAGATCTCACTTTTGAGGGAAACAAATTTCCATGTCAGAGGATGAAATACAAGGAATAGTTTTCTTAGGTGGGTCTTCCAATTTCTGGTTTGTAGCTACACTAATTTGTGGGTGAAGGAAATATTTTGGTACTGAAAACTTGCCAAAATGCTGTTTAACAGGGAATTGCAGTTTAATTAGCACTTATGAGACATTAACAATAATTGTATTCAATTTGGCCACTCAGGATAAAGTGTGATTCAGGATCAGCTGGTTGGTGCTCTGAAAAAAAAGAAAAAGAAAGAAACATTGCTGTGTGGTCTGGTGAATATGTGCCATTAGCTTCGTGTTCATAGGTAGAAGCTTTTGTGGCTGCTTGTCGCTAGACTGGGAAAAAGTGGAAGGAACTTGTATTAACTGGAGGGAAATGGTTTGACTTCAAGTTCATGCTTTTGCAGCAAGCTGGATTACAGTTTATCCCTGCTATCTCTTTTGCTGTGATTTTTAGGAAAAGTGCCAAAAACTTAAATTTTTTTCCCCATTTACTTATTTATGCTTTGCTTTGCCAAGGAATGAGAAAGCCTGCCACTTTTAGCAAGTGTGTGAACAAGAGAGGCAAGGGAACCCAGGGTGGGTGAAATTTGATCTGGAGACTTGTGTACGATGCAGGACAGCCATAAGCATCCCTTGAATATTTCTTTTTTCTTTTCAGCAGAGTTCATTATGCTCTCTGAGTTTGTGACTGTAGGTGAAAACAAAGGCAGTGCCACAAAATGACTGTAGTTTCAAAGGCTGGCTGAGAACAGAGAAAACAAACTATATGCAGTTTAAGCACCTGTTTGTATGCAGGCTACCACACAAGCCTAATATATACACCAGTATGATGTAAGGCAGTGGAGATGACCTGATTAGCAAAGCCCTCGCAACGAGCTGAGGAGATCCCTGCTGCACCAGTGCACCCCTCCTTGGAGACCTGCGCCTAGTCCCAGCTGAAGGAAACCTTCCTGCAGCAACAAGAGCTAGCGGAGGGTTTCTGAAAATGGCAACGACGGTGCTCTGTGTGTGAAGGTGATGGAAGTAAGAAGAGTAAACGGCCTGCACAACTTTGCAGAATAGCAAATAGCAAAATAATATGCAGGATATTATGAAAGCTGCAACATTAATTACTTGGGCTTTGTGAGCTACGTTTGCAGGAGTTGTGGAGCACTGTGTGTTTGGGGAGGTTGCATTTCAGCAAACAGCTCGCTCCGTTTTGTTGTGCTGTTTATCTTGTTGAATGAAAGCCGTCATTCAGCAGAAAGAAATGCTAGGGCAAGATAAAGTAAGTGATCTTCCAGTTTGTAAGCTCTTGCAGCCTTGCTTTCATATGTGCTGAGCAGGCAGAGGTCCACAGACTTGAATGGGAACTCGTGGTGCTCAGCACTTATTACAGTCAAGTGTTTATTATTCCATGTCAGAGAAATAGAGACAAAAATTTATATATGTATGAAGACACATAAGATACAAGGCTTTCTATCTCTCTTGTGAGTACCTATAAATATACACAATTGGTATGAGGTTTTTTGGTTTTCTGCATTACTGTGTGTGGAGAGTGCACAGGCTTGTGGCAGAAACCCGGGGTTTTAGGTGAGGAGCGCAGGGCATTATTTCTGCCTCTACCCTAGCTACTTGTGTGGCCAAGTGTATTAAATCCTGCTCCTGAAGACAGCAAACCGTTTATTCAGGCTTCATTCTCAGACTTGCTGAATACCCCAAAAGGCTGCTATTATTAGAGGGAACTGTCATTCCTTAGCTCTGAAAGTGGGCCGTCCATAAATCACCCACGCGTGCTTTCCACAGGGGGGTGGGACTAGGACCTTAGCTTTCTCCCTGCCAGCCCGTGGAGCTGGCAGAGCTCCCACTCTTCCTCCCTTCTGCTTAGCCCCTCCACCGAGGGTGCGTCCTCCTGCTCACAAGGCTGGCAATGGCTGTGCCACCCACTGTACCTTGGGCTCTGCACAAGCATCGGGTGGCTTCCCATTGCTTCTCTTGCTGCCGTGGTGGGGCAGGCCGCCTCGCGCTTGCCATGCAAACAGCCTCCTGTTAACCTGTTTCTGCCTTTCTTCCTCCCCTTGTTGAGGTGGTGGTGGCCTCGCAGAAGAAGCTATTAAGAAATGTATCTTGTCCTTGGGGTATGATTTGCAATTACATAAAGTTTACGGCATCTTTTCACGGCCAGTAAGAGGTTGCTTTCATCCACATATTTCCCTGTGCATGCTGTTGGTACCAGGGTTAGCACTGTGGAGCAGAGAGCTGTCCCCGGGGGACTGTGCTCTTCCACCACGCTGGGTGTAGGTGGGGATGGCCATCCTGTGCCCAGGCCAGCACAGCTGCACACTGCCCCCAGGCAACTGGCTGGGGCCAGGTCATTGTCAAGTTCTCAGTCTGTGCCATTTGTTTCTTTTTTTTAAACAATAAATGCATCTCTGGCAACAAAAATATCAATTCCCTTCTATAAATGAAGTGCTCAAATATTTCCTAGTTACAGACCATTTCGATGATGGTGCCTGTGCTGATACTAGTCTGCTGTGATCTGATCTGGCCGTGTCCTTGCTCTGGATGGGCTTTGCCGTAATAGTACTTTAATTCCTTAGCTCCTATTAGTGCCTTGATGAATGGTGGAAGATGTGTTTCAACAATTTTATGATTGAAAAGTAACATCTTACCATTGTTTGGTCTCTGGTGCCTTTGCCCTGTTCATTATGCTTTACCTAGGAGTAACAGCAATGATTTAGAGTTGCAACATCAATATCGGTCTCTGAACCTTGTGTTTTCTTTAACTGTAAATTCTGGGGAACGAGGAGAAAGGAGGATGAAGGAGGAAGTCTAAGTAGTAGGGTTTGTTCTTCTGACATTTCCAGGCCTGCTGTTTGAAACTGTGATGCCTCACAGTAGTCAGACACATTTACCCCTAACTTTCTCGTTGGGTTCCTGGACAGGGTCCCCTTGGGCAGCTGCTCTGGAGCATGCCTGGCTGGTGTTTGGAGATACCGGCTAGGCCCAGGGCACACAGTTGCACTCCGGGTCCACTGCTGTCACCAGCACTCGTGCTAATGGCCTTAGTACAAAGGTCAAAGACTGCTTAGATATGAAGGCTGAATCACCTCTTTTAAACCCCTCAGCAGGATCAAGGCTTAGGGAAGCAGACACGTGGGTTTGCTTTCTGGCTGACACTGTGGATGGAGAGTGTGACTCTGGGACAGGCCTTTCAGCAGTTTCGACCAACCATTGAGGCATTGAAATGGGGGTGTCTGGTGATTAAAACACCCCTGCACCAACACCCCTATGTGAAAAAGCCTGATGCATTCATTTTCTTTAAAGATTTGCTGATCCCACAAGCTCTTGCTAGTTAGAGGAGGTTTGTCCTGTGACCTGAGGATCGCAGAAATCAGTGCTGAGCCCGTCAGTCTAACCAAGTAGATATGAAAGATTTTCAACTGTGCTTGTTTCACTTGCAAATATAAATAAGCCAGCAGCATAGGTCTCACTTCAGACCTGTTTGCCTTGGCAGTGTCCCATTTACGTGAATCAGAAGATGGTAGGAAAAAAGCACTGGAGGCTCATCCAGAGGTTGGTCTCCTCTCCATCAGGAAACCTGCCCGTGCAGGCAGGGTGATTCGGAGATTACCGACGCAGCTCACAAGCCCGGCTTCACTAGGTCCCTGTGTTTTGAACAATCCTGCCTGTGAAGGGTGCTTGCTTCAGCGAGCTGTGGTGGTGCAGTGTCCTGTCTTTGGAAACCCTGCATCTTGGTGCACTAGGCAGGAGAGACCTGGAGGAAGCAGCTCTGTCCTTTGCTTTTGTGACTTGGGCTCCTTGAAAGGAAAGGGGGCTCCTGTGTTTCAAGCTGAGAAGTAGAAGGTTACTTCTTAAGCCTGCTGCATCTCTGCAACTTTTGGTAGGTCTCTGGGGCACGCCGTGCCTTAGTTTCTAAGCTGTAAAGTAGGGATAGAAATTAGGAATTTAAAAAAAAAAACACACAACCACAAAGCCTTGAAGAAAGATGCAGTTGTAACTTGTGGTGCCATCACCACTGTGAGGCCCTCATGTTGGTTTGAGCTTCAAGGCTGTGCTTTAATATTGATAACAGTAGAAATTTATCATGATATTAGTGATTGGGAACTTAGAAAATACACGTTTTTAATTATTTTTTAAAATTTTTTTTTCTTATTTCAGCAAATTCAGTAAAGCTAGAAATGCAAAGTGATGAGGAATGTGACAGGAAGCCCCTGAGTCAGGAAGATGAGATCAGGGCTCATGATGAAGGAAGCAGCCTGGAAGAGCCCCTCACTGAGAGTAACGAGATGGCGGATAACAGAAAGATCCAGGAGTTATCGAGCGAGGGAGGAATCCGGCTTCCGAATGGTAAACTGAAATGTGACGTCTGTGGCATGGTTTGCATTGGGCCCAATGTGCTAATGGTACATAAAAGGAGCCACACTGGTAAGCAGCTGAAAGAAAATCTGATGACTGCCTGTGGCGTCTGATGTTGATATTACCTGACAACTCTTCTCTCTTCCCTTTTCATTCATGGGGTACCAGGAGGCTGGGGAGGGGAAAGACGGGCTGTGTTGTTTTGGTTCTCCCCCTGCTCCCCAAATTCTGGTGATGCTGTGTTTCTGGCAAGCATGGTGCTTCCTTGACATTGATTTCCAGCCTTTCGTTCTTAAAAAAACACAGAAGTCTGGAAATGGCCTTTTTTTACTGACATTCTCTGGCATGGAGGGGTGGGTGTGTGTGTTCATGTGTGTGTGTGCATGTGCAAGGCTTTTGAGCCTTTAAGGTGGGTCTTAGATGGTCTTCCCTTGGAGGTGCTCACAGGTAGGCAACACTAGCAGCTTCCTGGGGATCTCACACCTAGTTTGCAAGTGGCTGGGCGTGATGCCGGAGGCCTGGCAAACCTGGGATTAGCAAACCCTGCAGGGGACACACCTTACCTAGCGATCTTGATGCCAGGGTGGGCTTGCTGCTCATCACGTGACAGCTCCATCAGGGAAACCTCACCTGAACCGCTCTTGTGGGCTAGCGCCTTGGCTCCCCCTCACCATCCAGATATCATTTTTGTGACACCTTTCAATGCTTGCACTCTCCTATCATTTATTTTTATTACTATTAGTACTACTACTGTTTGGAGACCAAAACAGCTTACCAGGCTTATGGATTTGAGAATTCAAGAGGCAGACAAAACCTTTGCAATATGCTGATTGAGCGGGCCTTTGGAGCTTGAAAGATGAGGCCTCGAGTTCAAAACAGGGAATTTCAGAGGAATTTTGGCTAATATGACAAACTGGGGTGCCCGAGAAGCTGGTACTCACTTGCCTCTGCTGCTCCTCAGGTGGGAGTGACAGTTACTTCCAACAGGATAAAAGTACAGATGGTGCCGGAAGACAATGCTCTCCAGTCTTGCAGAGGTCTACCTGGCAGAGCCTTTGATTTAAAAAAGCACTTAAGCTTGTGCTTAACTTTTGTGAGATTTAAGCACATGTAAGTCACCTGAAGTGCTACAATATATGCTTAAGATACACACTTAAATCTTATTAAGGTTAAGCACAGGTTTCTGTGTTGGAGCCTCAGTGGGTGTTTGTTCTTCATATTTTCTGGACAAAATGAAAGATACTTTGTTTTTTATCTTTCTCTGCTATTATTTGATGGGGTGAGAGACTCACACTGACTGTGAGAGATCTGCTAGGATATAAAAAGAAAAGTGGGGTTTTAAGGTAGAGTAAGAAAGACTTTGTGTAATCCCTTTGTAAACCTGGTAGTTTGCAGTCAAGTAGTGTGCTCTTGATGGGAAAGAAATCAATACAATTTCTGTACAGAGGAATAATAAATATATATTACATAGTTAATGCCCTGTATATAAGTTGTATTGATAATAACTTAACATAAATGTATAATGCAAAACATTGCAGTATCATTTATAATGCAGTCATGATTTTAGACAGCAATTACGACAGGGGAAAAGCATTAGCTGGAGAACCAAAATCTTGATTAACAATTTGACATGCTATTATTAGGAAAGGGAGAGAGAATAGAGAGTGTAACAGACTGAGTCCCCAGCTTTCAACTTCCCTAAAAGTTTTCATCAGCACTTGCACGTATCTGAGCATATGTATTGTAGGTGCATCGGAGTCCACGTATTTGAACTTGAGCAGCTAAATTAGACCTGCTAAATTTACATTTAGGTACTTAATTAAATGGTCTGCATTTTTTGAGATACTGAATAGCTAATGCATCTTTTAAATACAGACAAGCTGCCTTTTTCATGTTAAAGAAGACATGCAAATTCAAAGCGAACAGAACAAAATCTGATCTGCGTGCAGGCAAGACAGCTGTATGCAGGTGCATGGGTAGGAATTGCATAACGTAGCTTTTTCCTTCGGGCTACTGCTGTTTCCTCATAGAGCTCTGACTCTTTTCCCATCTGAGCAGAGGAGCTGTGATGTATTGCTCTATACAGATGATTTCAAGCATACAGAAATGGCATTCCTTTTAATGTGCAGCTCAGTGCCCTACTCTGTTTACTCTCAGTAAACCAGTTGGCAAATTTTGCGGGGGATTTCCCCCCACACACGCTTTGTTTGTTTGTTTTTTAATACATGCTGCTACTTCACTGTCCACAACAGAAGGAGAAGTTTGCTTAGATTTCCACATCCTTGATTTTAAGGAATATTTTTAACATACTGGTATCTATCTTTTAAAGTGCAGTATTTTAAAATATATTGCCACTTCCTCGGCAGCCGGGTGCAGTGGGCTGGCCCCAGCTCTGGAATGAGCCCTGACCTGTGTGTAGTCTGGTTTTGCAGCCCAAGGGAGAATGGTGGAGGGAAGGGAGGTTGTCCCTAATGAGTGGAAACGGATGATATTCTTTATCAGCTAATGCAACTGGCATGTAAATCCTTACCTCTCAAAGCCAATTTAAGTATGTTTTGGGAGCTGAATCCCGCCTTACTCTTCCCTTTATCTGTACACAACCAAAGCATGGTCTGGCCAGTTGTTTGCATTGGCAAAAACTAAAGTCCTTTTCCCTTCCCAAAAAACCTGTCAGCATTCTATGTAAATCACAGAAAATGCTGTGGTCCGTAGTAGAGACTGTAATTTGCATGTATGCTGGGACGAGAGTGTGGCTTTCCTTACACTGGGGACCCAGGCTTTGCGAGAAGCTGTGCCATATGGCTTTGGCTGCGTTATGCACGTAAAGGGGCACAGTTTTCTCCAGCCATTATTCATCTGTTCCTGAGGAGCAGTTGTCTTCCCCTGCCACGTTATGGTAGTTCAGTCAAACAGATACAGGGATGGGAAAAATAATCTGTGCCGTGGATGAGGCCAGAGTAGATGAGCTCAGTGTCCCATCTCTCATCCTCATGTGCTAGAGCATCCATTTCCTCGGATGCCTGCAGTTGCCTCTGCCTGTGATACACCGAGCCAGGGATTTCCCATTCATCCTTTGGATGCGCATGAGCACTGCCTCGTGCGTATGGTGCAAGCGATGCTTTGGTCCATGGCACCTCTGTCACAGAGCCCTTGGCATTGCTTATCTGATACCGCTGAACACAACATTTCTCTGAAACACTGATAATTCAGGTGAAGTGTTTTTGTAATCTCCATGGCCATCAGGAGAAGGCTTTTCTATTTATTTGTCATTGCTGACAGAAAATAAATAAAATGCTCAATGTGGGAATTAAGTGTGATGCACTCCCTGCTTCAGTGAGGGGGATAACCTCCCCCCCCCCAGCCTCTCCCTCACATGTCATGCCCTTGTGTCAGAAAAATAGCATGTGTCAGGTTTGATTTATTTTCCGCCTTTCCCATACTATCTTCTTTTGGTCCAAATTTCATATTCCACAGCACATGCCCTGAGTTGCAGCATCTTTATCAGAGTTTTTTGTTACTGCAGGAGATGACTGGTCACATAATATTGCCACTGGATACTCCACGGGCTTGTGCTTGGGGACGCTGAGGGAAGGGGAGAGGAAGAAGATAAGGCTTTCTGCTAGTGGGCCTGAATTAAAATTTCCTCACTCCTCACTTTTGGCAAAACAGAAACTATTTGCTGGTACAGCCATGCTGCTGCCTCTGTGATCTGCGAGGTCCACGTGTTGTTCTCCCTTGCACTGTGAATTGTGATTTTTCTCCACCATAACATCCAGTCCTTTATCTAGTCCACTGCTGGATTCTGAAACACTTTTTATTTCTAAGGGAGGATTGGGATCATCCTCATTGTTTTAAAAACACCCAGAGCTTAAATGCATTCTCTGTGTGGATGCAGCAGGACAGTGGCACAGCAAAGCCAGGTTCCTGGGTTACAGGGCATGACGCAGAAGGCAGCGGGGACAGCAGTCTTGCCCCATTCTCACTTTGGGCTGCTGATAGGTTATCTTTAGGCTTTTTTGGGGTGCTAACCACAGGAGGGTCTCAGATCTTTGCTTGCACTCCACGTGCATTTTAGTACCATAAAGTGAGTGAAATGAGATATGTTATGATAGTTCAATCAAACATGAGGGAAATCTTCAAGTTCTGCTTTAGCATCCATAGCATTATAATTGAACATATGCAACACTGGAACTCTGAATGCTATTTAATTTTTTTTCTTCATGCAGAGTTCAAGTTTTCGGGCCGCAATTAATAAATGAGAAAAAACCCAATTGTGCTGTTCAGTACAAAAGACTTTTATGCCCAAAGAGCTAACCAGGAACAAATTTAAACAAGTGGTTGTATTAACAAATTACAGTTAACTCCATTGGACTGCCTGTCTTATTCTTCTAGTAGAAAGGTTTTATTTGGTTTAATTTGTAACCTAGTGCAGGCTCCTACCTCTTGCAATAGGAATCGATTTGGCACTGAATCAAAAATTGTAGGTCCAAATTTCTAAATGTGATATTTTCTGCTTAGGTTCCTAACTCTAATAAAAGTCTCATTTTCTACTTAAGCATAAGGAAGGAGAGCTTAGGTTTTTAAAATTGCTCTCTGTATAAGGATGTGTTTTACTCACAGTACTGAGTAGCTAAACTCTTCTGATATTTTTACCAGTTCACTTAAAGGATTTTTCTCTCTTAAGAATACGATCATAAATTTGTGCACAGAGGACACTTGGAAATCACCGAGCATTTCCTAGGAATTTTTCATGAGAGATTTGTCACTACTGTTTTATAATAAATTGACCTATCTGGAAGTAGGTTTTTCCCAACAAAAAACCCTAGTAAAATCACTGATTTCAAGTGATGTGCAGCCTGTTAAGTGAATCTGATAGAGCAGTAAGTAGGTATGCAGACTAGATAGTCCCCAGAATAACAAATACAGAAATGGAGCAAAGTCTGCTGCTCTATATTTTGCTTGGGTGCAGGCAGGCTGCAACTCACTGCCTGTCAGTGTGTTGGTAGGGCAGCTAGTATTTCATTTGTGCTCCTGGGTCAGAGCAGAATCAGAGCAGTTGCAGCATCTGATGAATCAGGAGACATGTTTCATTTTGACTGAATATTAACAAAAAGCCTACTACCGGAGGGTGAAAATATTATTATTACGAGCAAATACTTTCTGATGGCAGCACGGGCACAGTAATTTTGCATTAAGAGGTTAAAAAAAACCCCTGTTTGAGAAGTACCTAAGCTGTCCTTTGCATATCAAAAGTATGTGCCAAACAAAAAAGGCTGAGATCTTAGATATACATTTAACCAGGCAGATGTTAAATGTAGTCTCATTGGACCTGGTTCTTACATTTAGAAGGACTCTATCCTGGCTTTTCTTGTTATTGTGAAGAGACTTTAAAATGAGCATTTTTTTTTAAAAAGAGTCGTTAAAACATTCCCAGGAAGGGGCCTGAGCACTACTGTAGAAATAACCAGGCCTCACTGTTAACGAGAACATTATTATGTATTATTTTGTGAGTTGCTCCATTTGATTTCAAAGGGACAAAAGTTACCAGCCAAGGGTTATGAAAATCTAAGTCTCCTTGGTTGTGAGGTCTGCAGGCTCTTTGTCATCAGTTAAATTTCTGTTTTGATACAGAAAATATCACTGATGTATTTTGCACCAGTATGAGATTTGAAGAAGGATAACTCATACTGAAAGTTCTGCGCAGCACTTCTGTGCTGAGGCGGTAAAGGAGAGTTATTGTGCAGCGAAGCTTTCAATTAAGCAGAAAAAGGAGTTGGTTTGCTTTTTGAAATAACATTTGACATATACATGGTAAAATATGAAAGCTATTAGTAGGAAGTTAATCAGTTTATTCGCCTGGTTTCAGGTTGTATCAGCTAGACAGCGTTCATAGCTTGTGCGATGAAGTCTTCAGCCAGCTGCCATATATTAAAGGTACTTATGAAAGGACTGTGTCTTGCTAATAACCCTGACTCCATTGGTCCACTTCACCTTTCATCTCAGTATTTGTTTACACAACAGCAAGTTACCTTGTGTACTGTAGATACTGGTGTAGCTAAAGAGCAGTAATATTTCATTATTATTTTTCCTGGAGGAGATATAGCTGTAATGGATGCATGTTAAACAATGAACTGTGAAGTTTCAGCAGTATTTTACTGTAATTTAGAGGTAAATATTTGAAATCATACCTTTTAATTAATACTTTATTTAACTGTAAATGATAAACCCCCATGGATTGATTGATTTATTTAATTAATTATCAGGCCTGTTCCCTGGTGTAAGCCCCTTTTACTAAGACTTTACGAAAGGTAATACTTTGCAGCTCCGGCTTACCTTGCCTTGTCCATTCCTGAAGTAACTTTAGATAGTTAAATTCCCTGCGCTGGAGAACAAGGCTTTTTAGGCATTCTTGGTTTTGTCTGGCTTTAGATCTTAAATCTGGAGTTGAAAAGAAACATCTTTTTTGTTTGGTTAGCTGTTCCTCCCCCTCTCTCCACTCAGAAACTTTTTTTTTGTTTTTAAATCACTAAGGTTTGAGGTTTTTCTGCCCCGGTTTAGCTCTAAAATAAAGAAAAGTTTTGATACTTAAAAGAAGAATAAGAATATTTTGCAGTCACATAGTTTCCAGTGTTGAAAAGCAAAGAGCTTGCTTAGTCACATTTCAGTACGTGTCCTTCTTATAAGGAGTTGTTATTTTAATAAATCAGTATAAGTTTATAGAGTCAAAGAGTAAATACATAGATAGCTATAATTGTGAAATACACAGCATGCTTATTATCAGTAGCCTTTTGTAGTCGTGTATGCCATTTGTTTAATAGGACTATCGTTTCTGGTATGTCTGTGCTGCCATCACCCCTAAAGACAGGAAAATGTTTTAAACACAGACAGGGACTGCCATGTAGAGAAGAAATGTATTTAGGTAAAGACTTTTCATGAGTGGATCATTAGTTTGAAGTGTGATTAATTTCAGCCTATGAATAAAAACTTTTACTTTTCACGGAAGTGTAAGGGAAATGAATAAGGGTGTCAAGGTTTTTATTTTGTTATTAGGAAATAATAATACTGGAGAACTGCTTACAAACCTACCGGGAAAAGAGAGCAAGAGAAATAATTGGAAAACAGTCTTCTCAAGGCACTGAAGTGATAAAAAAGGCTGGTTTGCTAGTATCTGGAGTGGGCATCAGGCAGCAGAGTTCTTGGAAAAACAGCAAAATCTTCTTATTTTTCAGTCTTTACTTTTTTTGTGCACCCTTCTATTGGATAATGGTCTCTCAGATCAGCTGTGCTAAATGTAGAAGCTGCTAATCAATAGTGCGAAGGTGTGACTAAAATTAATGGCCATCCTACAAGCCTGCAGCTTAAACAAGGAGCAGGAATCAAATGATTGGACAAAAGTATAATAAACAGATCAAAGCAGTTATTTACGCGGAATTAAGCCAGTAGGAAAAATGAATTCATGCTGGCTTTAAATAGATACAAAGGTTATTTAAGGTAAAATGTGCTATTGTAGCAGATTCTATCTGTTGCAAGAGAGGAACAGACTGTTGGTGACTTTGTGGTGAGTGTTTTCATGTCATCTTTGCCACTGAATTTTAGTGCAGGGATTATTTGAATTTCTGACCAAAGGCTTTCAGCATCTCTTCAGCTGCCAGTTTATCGAGGAATAATACCTGCTCATATGTGGCCTCCAGAATATCAAAGATAAGCAGGTGATGTAGTGGATAAAACATATTAACTGCATAGTTTTAAATACAGCAGGAGTAAAAGGAAAGACTTAAGACTTGGTAAGAAACTCACTACCTTCTTTAATGTTGTCATCCTGAAACTGAAGCTATCATTCCTGAATACTGAGAAATGTGTCAAAGGAAGGGGTTTTGCCTGTTTTCTCAGACAGCGAAAGCAAAACAAAAAAGAAAAAAAAACACATATATTTTTCTACTGCATATCTCTGTTATGGATATTTTGAAATGATATAAAAGAAGATAATGACTAATCAGATCCTTTAAGTGTAGTGTGGGAGTTTAAAAGGGAAACCACAAACTCTTTATCAATTCCAATGAGCTCGTGTTCAGTGTATTGGAAGATGAGCTTTATGCCCTGATTTTTATCATTACTCCATAATGTTCTTGGCAAGACTGTAGGAACCTTAGTGTCTTCTTCAGTGCATCTGCAGTGGTTTCAGATGTAATTTCCAGCTCACACACGTGAAGTGAAGTTGCAGAGGTATGGCATATATATGGCACATCTGCCTTCTGCTGCCCTCCTGGTAGGACTGTAATGCTGGCAGTGATTTAAACCACTGAAGCAAGAATTGCTAGTGGACATCTGTAAGAGCTCTCTTTCTCCCTCTCTTTCCATTTGTATCAACAGACATATGTTGGACTTTACACTAGACGCATGAACTACTTTGATAAAAACATAGCATTAATTTTGTGCAGCAAGGGAGTAATCATTTTAAAGCAATTGAAAAAGGCTTTGGAGAGATGTGACAGATCAGAGAACATGTTCGTTTTTCTCTAGAACTGTGCTTCAGGTCAGTGAATTCAACCTCAGAAAGTCCCATCAGGCATTGACCAAGGCTCCGTAACAGGTGATACGCTGAAAAAATGAATGAGACCACTTACATCTGAAATCTGATGTTCAAGACCTTGTTGAACTGGGGTCCTAGTTGGTGAAAACATTTCAGCATCTAGAGCCCAGCTGCAGTAAAGCGCTTAGGCAAGTGGCCAGCACGAGTATATGCTTGTGCCCTATTGATTTGCACTGTACTCATGGGACATAAGTAGGTGATTAGAGCTGACTGCCTGTCCATGAATGCTGGAACAGACTGTCTGTCCTCAACAAATGTTGACATAGAGTATGGTTTTGATAATATTTCACGAAACCTGTATGAATTTGTCAGGGCTTTTCCGCTAAATAATAATAATAAAAAAATATGTGATGTTTGTTGTTATGGACCCATTCCCCACTGTCCAGAGCAAATATGAAGGATTAACATCAAAATAAGTTTTGCATGTGTGTGTGTGAATGCATGGGGTGAAGGGAGAGGGTAGGATGTAGAGTTTCTGTTAATTTTTTTTTTTTCCCCATCAAACAAGTCTTCAATTAGTTTTACTTAGAGCACAAATTTGCTTATTTCATAGTTTAATGGCATAAGATTTTTCTCAGTGTTTGCTACTGCCCAAAGCTTGTGGGCCTGATCCTTACTTGCATCGATTCTCTCCATACCACTCTAGCAATGCAAAGCAACCTTCAAAAAGGGATTTCGATTAAAGTATAATGTAAGCAAAAGATTTGGTTTGAAGCAAAGACCCTAACATCTGTCCAAGTCCAATTGTTATGATCAGTTCTAAATACTCATATGGATTGCACCTATAGTAAAAATAAGTGCAAAACCATAGAGATAAATACCACAAAAGCACGGTTATGGATTTAAATTTTGAGCAGAGCTCATTTTTTATGAAGGCTAAAACCTCCAAGGTGGAGAACTTTATGAAAATCAGGCTGCGTTAATCACCTCAAGCTGATACTGCAGAAGGAAAGAGCTCCAAATCACTATTGGAGGCTTTGCACCTTGTGCAAAACAAACGGCCTTTGACTTTAGCAAGTGCCATGTGATGGTGGTGGTGGGGACCGTACCTATGTAAGACAGCAGTGTTACAAAGAGAGGGAGAACGGGCTCCATGCATCTTCTGATGTTTCTTGACAGTCTTTCCCTTCTATTTCTCTTCCAGGTGAACGCCCCTTCCACTGTAACCAATGTGGAGCTTCTTTTACCCAGAAGGGGAACCTGCTGAGGCACATCAAGTTGCACTCTGGGGAGAAACCGTTCAAATGTCCCTTCTGCAGCTATGCCTGCCGACGGAGGGATGCCCTCACAGGACACCTCAGGACACACTCTGGTGAGCCCGCCTTGTCTTCTCTTCCCTCTTGTTTTTTCTTTTGTCATTACCGCTCAAATGAAGTGGATTGAGAACATAACTGTGTTCCTGGTGGCTCTGGGTCTGTACCATCCTCTTCAGATAGCACAGCTCTGAACTTTGGGAAAGCCTTGATGTGCATCAGGAAAGTTGTGGTTTAGCCACACCTCTCCTTTTATGTAACTGAGCTCCTCTGCTGATGCTGTCACATTTCCCTTTGAATGTCTCCTTGGGTGTATCCAGGCTTCGCTGGCAGATTGTGTTGACACTCTCAGCCCCAAAGTGGCTCTGAAATTCCAAAGATTGCAAAGAATAACTGTGTGCTCCTGGAAGCTTGCTTTGCAGTTCATACCCATTTCTTCATCTAATAAATGCCATATGCTGGTGGAGTTCATACTTGTTCATCTTTCAAAATACTCCTAATTGCATTTTTGATTCAGTTACATCTCGCTGTAAAGTCTTAATCCATGGCAGCCGCAATACTCACCCTAGAGCAGAAGGTGTCAAAGAGAGATTGAGTTTGTCTTGCCTTGCTACTTGATAGTATCATGTCTATATCAAGTCTACTTGATGTTGTTTCTTGATACGTTCTAAAGAAATACCTGTCACATAACTGCATGTTAGTAGTCGCGTTGTTAGCCCTGATGATCGAGATCAGATGAGTTTCTAGTCCCTGTATGCTACACCAAGGGGCCGCGTTCTGCCCACTTACTCATTTGTGTAGGACTCTTGAGTAAGATCTTAACTTGCTGCATTTTTTATCTCCTCGAATGTTCAACTTCTGTGTCCAGGCCATTTATAGGAGACTGTGTTTTTCATTGTTGAATGAGCAGAGATAATTGGATTGGTTACAAGTGACAGCATTACAGATGAACTTTTTCGAGGTGTTAGCAAATGTGTGACTACTGAAACACCGTGGTTGAAGTGCAGCCGCAGACAGAAACTCTGCATGTGAAAATGTAATCATGGGGCTTCCCAACTCTTTATACACATTTCTTCTACAGGGTCAGCCTCACTTCAGTAGAGGTTTCTGTTTTTGAGCAGTAGGTTGGTCTTAGGATACAAAGTTACCTTGACATTTCCAAGAATCGGAAAGGATAAGCTAGTAAGCTTCTCCAGATAGACTTTGAAGTACGCAGGAGGTTGTATTGATGCAAACGTACTGCTGACAGAAAGCATGAGCTTCCAAGGGAGTGCAAGTGTGGGACTAGGCTAAGAGAGAATTGCTTGAGAGTTGTCAGCTGAGAGTATTTGATCTGAAAGTCAGAAGGGAAAACGTCTGTGGAACTGTGAGTTGTAATTTTCACACATCTGACCATAACCATAGTTTCAACTTGAAATTTAGTAAAAAAGAAAACACGATAAAAATATTCACAATTAAAATAAAAAAGGGAGTTGTGACATTAAATAGCCCACATTACAAAACATGAACATGTGGTTGAAGATTGTTTTCATAATATGAATATAGATTTTGTTACCTAGATACAGCCATTGATAGAAATTGTTTGTTCTTTCTGTGTGAAAAGTACATGGCTGATGTTTCTGCTTTTTGCATGAGGATGAAATGTAAAGGTGTGGGATTTTCAGAACGCACCTAAGCTGCTTAGGCACACAAGTTCCCCTGGAGCTCCTTCCCTAACTGACATAGGTGTGTTCAGCTGTGCTCAATTTGTAATTTTATGTTTTGTTTTCAGTGGAGTAAGTGTCACCCCTCTAAGCAGTCAGCTACTACAGTTTTCAGCAGAGGGCCAGCAGGAACAGACAAGTGCTCCCACAACACTCTCCAAGACAATTCTTAGAGTAGCACTCACAGATGAAGAGTTAAAAACCTGAGATACTGCCCTAAAACCTAGCACCCACCTACATGATGGTGAAGTGCCAATCTGAACGTGAACATGGAAGTTAAGGTGTCTTTCTGTCCCTGTCATACAGGCAAGCTTGGTTGGTTTATGCATACATGTGTGAACCTGGTTCATGGAGAAGATGGGTAGATGTTCCCTAGAGATTTTAAACAGTTTTGTATCAGCGTACTATGCAAGCACTTTCTGCTTTAATAAAGCACATATCAAAGTCCGTAAGTAGACCTTGGAGGTATAGCAAATCTAGTAAACTTCATTGAATGTTTACGTCTTCTGACTTATATTTCTGACTATAAAAGAGGATATCAGATAAAATATAGAAAGAAGAGGTTGAAAACTATTTTGAAATATGAGACTTCAATACAGTTTCAATCTGGTACACTTAATGTCTAAATTGAGGTGAGTCTGAATATGTTTTTGTATTTATAAGAGGAAAGCTCTTTAGATCAGATCCTCAGCTGATATAGATAGGAATTACATCCTGTAAGCAAGGAAAGTACTGCTATTTTGCACCAGCTGAGAATCTGGCACATGATTTCATAAATGCAAGACCAATTTCCTTTTTTATGTTGTATGTCCGTTTCCTCCTTAAAAAAGAGAGTGCTATTAATCAAAAAACCCCACTCTTTTTTCCTTCCCAATAAGGTTTTAAACAACTTGGTTTTTATGGAAGGCAGAGTATGCAAGAAAGGAATAGAAAAATTTTTTTATATCTTTTTTTTTCCTCCCAGCTAGTTTGATCTGTGAATTTGAAAGCACTCTGTTTGTGTCACCACTTAGTTACACCCTCTCGCTACTGCCAGTTAGTCAATTTTTCCTGTGCTTAGTGCAGGGTTTTCATACAGTAAGACAGGAAAGGTGAAAAAATAAGGAAATGTAATTGCAAACATAAATTAGCAGAAGCATCCCAGAGATATTTGAAATAGCTGAAACTACTATTAACTTAAAAAAAATTAATTTGTGACAGCTTCTTTCTTTTTTTTTTCTTTTCCTTTGGATAGATTTTTTGTTCATGCTTTTTAATATTATTTCCTGTTTATCTGAAAAAGTTTCTAAGCATCACAATCCACATTTTGCCTTCCTTTCTTGTACAGAATAATGTCTTTCTATAGAAGTGTTCCCAGGATGGGTGGTTAACAAAATATTACTTCGCATCTGTAACGCTACTGCTATTTGACCCTAAATAATTAAGGACTTATCTTGCAGTGATTTACTCCTGCGATTATTTACCTTTTACTGACATATGGGGTTCTGATGAACTTTGCGTCTATATTTTCCTCCCACATGCAGCTTCTTTGAATTCAGGAATATAATGATGCCTTCAGGACATCAGTAGGATAATGCCTGGGGAGAGATTCATGCACAGAATTACACTAAGAGTGGGCATGAGCCTCAAGGTACTTACAGGACTTTCAGGTGTTGTTTTCAGAATTAACTCCATAGTTCCACAACACAGATAATACAGGAGAGGTGCCTGACTGGGCTTCCAGGACGCGAGTGTAAGAACAGGCTGAGGAGGGCTGGGGCAAAAGTCAGTAGCCCCCTCCTGCATGATGCACTTGACAAACCAGCAGGGATTGGCTTCACCTTGCACAGCTTTTGCTGTTTTTAAAGAGGAAAACATCCAGGCAAAGCCGGTCTCCTGATGGCAGTCACAGAGTACCTGCTATCTCACCCTGAGACATGCCCATCTTCTCCAGCATCTCTAGAATTGCTCAACTAGACAAAGGCAGATACAAAACAGATAAGACGAACTCTACTGTAGGTGATTAATGAACAAAAAGCAGAAGTTTTAAGGAAGACAGTTGATCTGACAGATCAGTCTGATGGTTAAAGCACCTAGATGTTGACCTCTGTACTTTGAAAGATATGACGTACAATCTGACGCTGTTTTACCCTGAAAAGCCAGGCATCCTCAAATGGGCACATAAAATTAGCGGTTATGTTTTGACATGAATTTCTCTTGTGTTTAAAATGGAGCCAAGTCAGCCCTCCCCTCATAATGCTATTGTAAACATAAATGCTTTGATAGTTCTTAAAAAAAAGTCAAGGCTGCAATAATGAGCAATCTGGAAGAGCCCATAGAAAACATTAGTGCATTAGTTTTCAGAGCAGGGCTTGGGCAGTAAGCTGTAAATGAGGGATAGGATCACTTGCTGAGGAGAAAACAAAACACAGAATAGGTTTTCATTAAGTGAGAAACATTCATCCATCCTTTGCACTAAGCAAGGATGGTCCTGTGGGCAAATTATTTTGTGATTTTTAAGACTGTCTCATCATGCATACACACAGACTGGCCGCATGAAGCCTTCTCAGGCAACCTTAATTCTGCAACTTCCTGATTTTTCTGTCTTTATCTTGGCAACTTCAATCACATTCCTTTACTGTGGGAGTATGTAAGTGTTATTCATATATGAAAGCAGTGTTACTGTTTATTTCTGCCTAAAAAACAGGTAGTCAAATCATTATTTTTTCCTGTCACAGAAGCTTTTCCTCACAATACTTTTTAAAATTTGCTTCCAAAATACTTCTTTCCTGTTTAGTAAATGATTTTTTTTCCATTTTCTGCTTTTAGCAAATATTTGCTTTATCCTCCCTCTTGTCTTCCTGCATTGCTGCTGCACATTGTTTGTTACTGCCCAGCTCTTCAATAGCACTGAACTAATGGTATCATTTTATTTGCAAAAGAAAAGCAGTGAAGCATTTGTTTTGCAAAGAAAGGCTTAGGCAAAAACTCCCAAAAGCACAATCTTAGCAAACTACATACAGTGTGCAAGATAAAAGGCATGTATAATTAGAAAGGTAAATGCCCCGTTCATGGAAAGGTAGTTTAGTAACTCTTTTTATGTTTCTTGGTTTGCAAGTCTATCTTTCTCATCTCTTCTTCTCCGTAAGGACTTTCTTCTCAGCTCCTTCTGTGTGGTAGTGAGCCGTTCGAGATGTCCTACATGCTTGCAATTGCATGGCTGTTGTCAGCACAACTGACAAGTGATATCTGTCTGCGCGACTGTGCTCAGAGGCAGAAGGAATCTGGTTCCTAATTCTGATGACGTGCCTGACTCAATACAAGTTTGGGAGAGTCATTCCACCTGTGAGTGTCTCAGTCCAGCTGAAAAATTGGAT